AGATATATGGACAAAAGGGTTCACTGCGTGACTCACTGTGTCGCACTACAGCTTCCATAATGAGGTAACTCCATTTTTCTTTTCTTTTTTCTCTTAAATTTTTATCTTGGTGGGTGGTGGGGTTTAGGGGCAGAGGGTAGATATGCAGGGATGGGAAATGAATGGGATCAAGATGCAAGACAAGAAAGACACAAAGAATAAATTTTAAAAAAAGATTCTTAGCTGTGTCCAGTGTGTGCCCGTGTGTGAGTGCGTGTGCGCATGCACGTGCATGGCATGCACGTAGAGGTCAACCTCAGGAGCTACTCCTCAGGACCTATTCCTTCTTGTTTCTGGAGATAGGGTTTCTCTTTGGACTGGAGTTTGCTGATTCCATTAGGTTGGCTGGCCAGCCAGTAAATCCAAGGATTCATTTGTCACTGGCTCTTAAGCTCTGGGTTTACAAGGGCACACCAACATGCTATCCTTATTAAATGGGCGCTGGAGATAGACGCAGGTCTTCTTGCTTGCATGACAACGACTTTACTAAATGAGCCATCTCTCTAGCGTCAACAGCTGCATCTTAACATGCTTTCCTGATATTCCTAAGCTCTGGCACACATGAAGTATTTGTTCATAGCCTATCACATAATTAAGAGAATTCGCACTAGGGTGGCTTGAAGCCTTGTTTGTAATGCTAGTCTTTGGTTGGAGCATTGGACAGACAACATCTAGTTATCTTCTACGGAATAACGTGTGTGTCTTTGTCATCCTGCAAATTGGTCTTGTATGGGGAAGAATATGGGAATTTGTGAAGACAACATCAAATACTAGTGTCAGTGTCCAAGTTCCAGAAACTGCACTGCTACAAGGTCCTCAAAGCAAACTCTGGAAGAATTATCCTTGCTCAGGGGAGGTGGAAAGTGCCCTGTTCTGAGAGCCCAGGCAATGGTTTTCGGAAGTTGTTTGATTTGCTGCACCCATGGCAGTGCTGGCAGAGCAGTCAGATAAAGATCACAAGAGGACATATCCCTAGGGACCCAGAACCTAGAGTCATGGTGCCTTTGAGACCAAGTGCTTACTTGAATATTATTGAAGGATAAGGGTGTGGTGTTCACGATATATGTCATAGTCAAGGAGGGAAATTCATGAAGTGTAAGCGAAGGATTCTGTGCTCCTTAGGTGGGGGACACAGAATATTTTTGGGCAGTTTTTATGGTGGATAGATGAGTGGTCCATGATGCAAAGGTTGTAGTCCACAAAGTATAGGTAAATGTTCCATGATGTCTTGATGGGATATTATGATGTGTATAGGGAGTGTTCCGTGATCTACAGGTCAGGGCTCATGGTCTATACACAGGGAAATCTACAATTCACAGATATAGTTTCCCTGAAGTTTTATGATCTATAGATGAAAGGCTTTGATATATCGATGGGAATCCCATGATGTGCAGACAGGGGACTATAATTTGTGCATAGAGTTTCTATGATCGATATAGATGGAGTATCTGTGACCTATGAATGAGGCACTCAGGTTCTAGAAACAGAGGTTTGCAAGACATGTAGACAAGGGATCAGCAGTGCATAGCTGGGACTTCTGTGATCTATAGACAGAGGCCCCTTGATGTATTGACAGTGGTGCTGAGAGAACACAGTTCCTAGAAGGAAGGGGTTTAGGCTGAGTAGTAAGACAGAACAGCTTTTATCGTAAACCTTAAAATTGTTTATTTCAATATATTCTCCCATGAACTCAGACCCTGTCTAGGACAGGTTTTCAATTTCATCAGCCCTGATTCCCATTTTTACGTTTGGCCCCCACCCAGCTATAGGGTGCACTTTTTAAGGGTCTGACGCAAGAGGATAATGAGCCCTTGGCACGGCTGTACTGCTGTGGTGTGATGAATGGCCCGCAGCCCTCGAGCCGCTCCATGCCCTTCATCATCCAGTCGGAGTGGTTAGCAGACTGTCAGAGAAAAATAATTTAGCAGCCATGGCTTTAACGGATGTGCTGCATTCTGGGGTCAAATGACTATTACAAAGTAGTAGCGCTGCCTGGCTTCTCCATCGTGAGAACTCAGAGTTGACAACATGAAAGAAGGAGGCATCACACCCAGAACTCACTGACGTCCTTCAATTTCACACGGTAGGAAGCGGAAGAGAGAGAGAGAGATGGGGTGGGTGTCTTAGTAAATAGAGAATCCCCGGCCTGCCTGGGAGCCTTGCGGGGAGCTCTGGCCTTTCTGCAAAGTGGCATCAAGCTGCGGCCGCGTGAAACAGCACAAGGGCTATGCCCACAATGGCTGTCGGACCTTCTCAAGTAGGCAAGAGAGATGAGCGGATCAAACTCATGCCAAAGGTCATGGGCAGTTTCAGCAGGACTCATTCTTCTGCACAGCATTGAGTCCGGGCAGTAGGGAGGACACTGCTTCCATGGCACTTCTGCAAGTTTGATTTTTTGTAGCAGAGATGTGGAACAGGGGGATGTCAGAAAAATAAAAAGACAAAGGCATAGGAAAGAGAGGATGCAAGGTCACAGAGTTTCTTGCTAGTGAGTGTGCAGAAGTGGATCTAGAAAATGTTCTTGCTTCTTTCTCTAGCCCATTCTGTTCACTGGGGTTCTGCATTTATTTGAGTATGAGCTGAAAGGCAAGACTGATGAAGATTATGGTTTACCCCCTCCCACCTGCTCCTTAAGTCATTATTACATGTATAATAAATGCTTGAGGTGAAAGAAATGAGTAGGAAGTAAATAGAGCAGGAAAAACAATACCACTGTCCCTAAACTGGGACTTATGGATAGTGTGTATTTTTTCACAGAAGATTTGTAAAAAGCAGTACATCTTATGGCTGGGAACATGGCTCAGTCAAGAGAGTGCATGTTCTGCAAGCATGAGGACCCAACTTTGGATCATTAGTATCCACATAAAAACAGGCAATGGTAGCATGGGCCTATAATCCAAGCTTTAGTTAGGTAGAGACAGATGGATCACTGGGGCACGCTGGTCAGCTGTTCTCGTCAAATTGCTGAACTTCCCTTTCAGTGAGAGATTTTGTATCAAGAAACAAGGTGGAGGGGCTGGAGAGATGGCTCAGCAGTGAAGGGTGCAGTCTACTGTTGCAGAGACCTCCATTAGTTCCCGGCATCCACGTCAAATGGCTCACAACTACCTGTAACTCCAGGTCCTTCTTCTGGATCTGGGACCACTGAAGTCATTTGCATACCCCCACATATACACATAAATAAAAATATAATGTGACACGTGATAGCGGAAACATGCCACATTGATCTCTGACATGTCTCTACCTGCATGTACACACGTGTGTACGCACCCACACATATACACACCCACACATATACACAAGCATATGCTGCAAACACACATACACAAAGGATATCCGCTCTGGCGTCTTTCCCATGTCTGCGTAGAGTCAAATATGAAATGAGTGAATGAATGAAAGGAACGAATGCCCTATCCAGTTATTATTCAAACTGTAAGAGCCCTTTATGTTCGTTGTGGCTTCACTCATATCCCTGACCAGTATCTTGCATTTTGATGGCACCCTGAATTCTTTTATGGGATCTTTATCTCCAAAAGCAAAATAAGGGATTCTATTCCAGGTACTGTGATGTCATGATGGTGGCGATCACAGCAATAACTCACCGTTGTTAAGTCCTTAGGATGAAGCACGGGGCTAAGTGCCTTTTTAACTATGTAAAGTGTTTCTCTCCTTGATTGATGCCCAGAATGAATAAAAATAATTTGCTGTATAGACTACATTAGAGAGACCTACAAATAAGTCTCAGAGTGATAAGAGAAAAAGATAATTTGCATAAATAAGCAATTATAGAACTTGGCAGAATAAGGTTGTCTTAAGTGGTGTGAGAATAGTTCTTGCCGCACAGGCAGTGCCACACAGGCACCTTAAACACGTGGAGGTAAACTCCTGTAAGAAAGCAGACTCACAGGGCTGGGGGTACAGCTCAGGGTACAGCTCACTTGTCTAATGTGCCAGTGGCTGTGGATCTGAACTCCAGTATCAGCAAGAAAGAAAAAAATGAAATTAGACCCACCATTGTGCTGGCAAAACGGGGAGAGATCCCTTTCTCTTTCTTTCTTCTCCCCTCATACGTTTCTTTCTCTCTCTCTTTCTCTCTCCACCCATACATGCCAGGTTGACCTTGAACTTGCTATGTGGCTGAAGATAACCTTGAACTCTTTATCCTCTTGCCTCTACCTCCCTGGTGTAGAGATTATGGAAGCGCACCTCCATTCCTGGTTCATGCAGTGCTGGGGGTTGAACCCAGCTTCATGAATGCTGGGGAAGCACTAGACCACCTGAGTCATATCCGCAGTTCCCTGATTCTTATTTCTAGCTTCTCTGCCTTCCAGCAGTTTTTCTTCTGACAGCTCTTGGTCTGTGCTCATGTCTTACTGGAAATTCCCACCTTGTTGGAAACCATAATCATAGAGGCTCTGGCCACTCCCAGTGAGACAATTTCCGTCTTGGTTTGCTTGCAGTAACTAGCTAGAAACTAGAAACTCACCCCAGACCACCAACCAACACACCTTTTTTTTTCTTGGTTCTTCACTTTCTAAGTTACTGGAGGACCTGGAGAATGAATCTTGCCTTCTTTTCTTGCAGCCTGGGTCTCTAGGTGGGGACAGAAGCCCCTGCCCTGTGCTGGCTCCACTTGCTTCCTGTGACCCTGGTTGTCTTTCCTCCCTAGCAGTTGAGCCCATCGTTGTGAAAGTTGCCTAGCTTTATGAGTTCTCTCATTACTTCTGCTCACTTGCTGTGTTGATAAACTCTTGCTTTCTTAATATTCCCATGATCCTCTATCCATAAAACCCCGGCAATTCCTCTCTGGGAATTGGGGCCTTTCCAGGAAGGCCAGCGCTTTACCATGCTCTTTTTACAGACACTGGAAGAGAGGGGCAGGCCCATTCCCCCATCACAGCAAGAATAGCACAACTCACATCCATCTTTCCACTGACAGGCAGCTACCCGAGAAGTCTCACCTGTGGCAAGAGGTTGCTTTTACTCCTGCTGGGTGTGTGGCCAGGCAGCCGGATGTCGAAGAGGGCCTGCAAAGCAGCTTGCGCTGCCTGGCCCTTGGCCAGCTTCTTGCTGCGTCCAGAGCCTTCGAACGTCCTCCCGTCCACGCACACAGCCATGACAAAACTCTTGACTCGGGGCTTCTCGGCTGTTTCCGAGAGGCACACATACCGCAGACCTGAGCGTAACTCATTCAGCACTACTACAGGGTTCCTCTCTCCCAGAGCCCCGGGGGCCAGCCTGGACCTGTCGGGCAGAGCCTGGCCCATGAGGTCCAGTGTGTGGTAGAGCAGCCGTCCTCGCCGGTAGGTGGAAGACAAAAGCTCCGGGTCGACGGGACGACAGCCGGGGAAGTCCTCATTTCTTGAAGATGGTTCGAACTCCTTGAACAACGTGTCTGGGAAGTCAGCCTGGTCAGAGGTAAAGTCAGTGCATGAACTGGTACTACTGCCCATGGCCAGGTGGGCCTGAAACGCATTGGGGAACTGCACGAAGGACTTCAGGGCCATCTCTGCTGCCCGCATCTTGGCTTTCTTTTTAGTGGGCCCCGTGCCTTCAAACGTGAGCCCGTTCACTTCCACAGCCACTGCGAAGACTGGGGCGTGCACTGGGCCTGTCTGTGACACCATCCGGTACTGCAGACCCGGCTTCAGCTCATGCAGCTGGACCAGGGCATTCTTGGGTGTCATAGACCAGGAGAGCTTCTTCCAGATTAGCTGGAGTTTGCAGAAATGCCCCGCATTTCCTTCCTCCAGTGGCCTTTTCCTTTTAATGCTGGCTGTGCTGCCTCTGGCCCAGTCTCCAGGGGGCAGGGCCCTAGTCCCCAGGTTGCTCACATTTCGGTTTTCCTTCACTTCAGCGCTGCTGGTACCTGGAGGTGAGAACAAATTAGTCATGACCCAGGGCACTGGTAGGTCACTGCTAATGATAGAAACTGTTGCTAATGATGGCTCTAGAAGGCTGGGAATCCAGGCTCATGGATCTTTGCCACCAGCGCCCTCAGCCAGTCTGGGAAAGGCATTGTAGTGCCTTGTGCAAGATACAAGAAAGGAGGAACACTGGGGGCCAGTTGTCTATGGAGGAAAAACTCCCCATCGGGTAATCCTCAGAAAGTCAGGCCTGAAAAGATGCGAGGAAGAGACAGGAAAGGGGTGTGTCCTCTGCATGGTCTCACACTCTGTTGTCTGAGCTATGATGTTGTCACGTAGGAGTGCCTACCTCCTCTGCACCTACATTATCTCTTAAAAATCAAGCAGACGAGTAGTTCTGCCTATGTATGGTTTGGGGCAACAGCAGACGTTAGAAAGGCTCTTCTGGCAATGATGAGCACCGTCCTGCCTCATATGCTTTCAGGGGCATCAGGCATGGTGATTGATGCTTGTGATGCCCTTAGCACTGCAGAACGGGGGTAGGGCTTTGCTGAGGATACTCTCTCTTCTATCAAGCCCAATAGAGTTTCTCAAACCCCGCCCCCCAAATCATCATAAATAAAACTCATCAACATGTTGAATGACAAAAAGAACTTGCAAAAATTCCATTGAGTCGGATAGACTATCATAAGAATACTCACATGACATATTATTTGTGTAATCAGACTTATGAAAGAACTGAAGACAGTTTTATCATAAAGATATATTCCCATCTCCCACAGGAGGTGGAGGGAGGGACGGAAAAGAAATGGATAAAGAATGGCTTCATTTGTACTTGTAACATTTTCTTTCTTTTTAAAACATTGCAGTGTGTGTGTGTGTGTGTGTGTGTGTGTGTGTGTGTGTGTTTATACACACCGTGGCATGTATGTGGAAGTCAGAGGACAACTTGCAAGAGTCAGTTCTCTCTTTCCTTCCTGTGGGTCCCAAGGATTAAACATGGGCCAGCAGGCTTGCTGGGAAGCATCTTTATCACCTGAACCATTTTGCTGATCTAACATTTTGTACTTTTGCAAAAAGCTGACATAAAGTAAGTTCATCAAAACCATCACTTGCTATGAATATATATTAAACTATATATAGTTGACATCTATGTATGTATGTATGTATGTATGTATGTATGTATGTATGTATCTCTCTATCTATCTATCTATCATCTATCTATTTTACACACACACACACACACACACACACACACACACACACACACACCCTGAGGCTGATCTGGCTAGGCATAGCCATGCCCAGGTGTGCATCTTCCATGCATTCTCTCAGAGGCTAGGAGCTCTCAGCTCTGTGGCAGGTGTGAATATGTTGTTTTTTTCCTCATTAAGCTGGTGGAAACTCCAGGTGAATTTTCCAGTGAACCCACAACTTCAAAACAGACACTGAATGCCTGACTGGCTGTTGATACATGTACCTGCTTCTCTTGTGCAGCCTGAAAGCTACACACACGCACACACAGACACACACACAGACACACACACCATAATTGAGTGAAGATGAACTTAAAGATAATTAAAGACTAGTAGCCACCTTGAATGACTATTCTCTAAAAAATCTGTCCTGTTTAGAAAATCCCAGTTGCAAACTGCCACATGACCATATGACCCCTGCTGAACTTTGCTAGGGTGTAGGGTGTGTGCTTCTAGAAGTTAAACTCTCAGTTTTATTATAATAACCCAAGGATTATACCTATGAATAATCTGGCATCATCAACCGACCCATCAGCCTCTATGTATTCTGTTGAGAACCTAACTTTTATATATTTCTTCTTCCATAGCCCCTAGTTAGTGGCTAGTATGGTCACCATTTTATAAGCAGGTAGGCAGAAGCTGAGACTCAAGGAGTTGAAATAATTTATTTATAAAGGTTGTATGCTATGCTGTGTTCATGATGGGACTCGGTCCTAGGAATCTCACACTCTTCTCATCTGTGCAGTGGCTGTAAGTTGATTTTATGGACACAGAATGGCTGTGACATTTTCTTGGCCTTTGTAGATTGACACCCCTCCCTAGGCCATCTGGATATAATGAAACCAAGTCTACCCCATGTGTGATGAGTCCTGGGGCTGATCTGGCTGGGCAGAACCATGTCCAGGTTTCCATGCACCTTGTACATGTTCTCAGGGGCTGGGGGCTCTCTGTGGCAGGTGTGAATGTGTGTGTATGTTTTTTTTCTCATTAAGCTGGTGGAAACTCCAGGTGAATTTTCCAGCGAACCCACAACTTCAAAACAAACGCTGAATGCCTGGCTGGCTGTTGACACACGAACCTGCTTCTCTCGTGCAGCCTGAAAGCTATGTAGGTTGAGACCTGCCAGAATGGCTGCTGTGTGCCTAACCTCTCAGTTTATGGCATTGTTGTTGGGGAATAATGAAGAAGAAGGTACAATTTCACAGCCACAAAGGATGCCTTTGAAAATCAGGGGCCTTTCAGAGGTATCCCGACATTTGAGAATGTTCTTTTCAGCATGAACTCTACTTCCTCTCAGCTCAGAGCTAACCTGTCGGTCATAGCTATCATGTCTTTATAAAGAAGCCCAGACAGCCCTTGCTAGGATGCTCCAGTGGGGGGCACTGGGCTCTGCATTGAAAGCGAGCTCAGCTTCTCAGTTTAATTTTATAAATTGTGAAATGGGCTTGCTACTATCTCTATCAATTTGCTCCTAAAAAGCTATTAGGCTTGGGGAGGTTAGTTTGTTCAAAAGTGTGGATCTGAGTGCTTTCTAAGTTATAGCCATGCAGCACTAATTTGTTATGGATCTCGGCAAAAATAATTACCTTTTAGATAGCAAGTGCTAAATCTCGGCCGTTTGGGCTGATCATTGTGAGCTCTGGATATGCACACTGCAATGGACTCTGCTATTTGGGGTATTTCAAGGCAAGGGAGAGTGTACATTAGATTAAACCATGTGATTTTCCCAGACTGGAAAATAAAGAGCAAACAAAACAATTCCCAAATCCCCACATCAGATTGCCTAGAAACCTGCTTGGAGCCTTCTAATTTCTTATTGATTTCTTACAATGTGGGGATTCAATAAGTGTGCCAGTGTGATTATGGTGGCTAGCATATCAGATGACCTCTGCTGTATCTTGAGAATCGAACTCAGAAAATAATGTTTTTGTTCTATACAAGGTGAAATCCCTTTTATTTGCTTCTCTTCTGTGACTCTCAATATCTTACTACTGCCATAGTTGGAACTCTTTATATAAACTTTGATTATTAAACCATGGTGTGAGTTTCTTTCTTCTCGTGTGTATGTGTGTTGGTACATGTGTGTGCATGTGTGCATGTTTGTATATATGCACATATGTGCATGTGTGTGTGTGTGTGTGTGCGCGCGTGCGTGTGCGCAAGTGTGGAAATCAAAGGTTGATATTGGGTGTCTTCAACTGAACATGGAGCTTGCCAAGTAGGTTAGGCTGGTTGGCCACAAAGCTCCAGATCTTGCTGTTTCTGACTCCCCAGCACTGGGATTATAGGTGTTCCCAGTACACTTTTTTACTTGGGTGCTGGATATCAAACTCAGGAGTTGTGCTTGTGAAATAAACATAACCATATGAACTATCTGTCAGTTCCTGTCAGCTCCTTTCTTAATAATTAGTAGCAGTTGATTTAAAACTACAGACATTGGCCCCTTAGATACAAGGTAGACTCGCTGGGATGGCATTACCCTTGGTGATATTGCTAATATAAAAAGTGTTGGTTAATTAATCCTCAGAGTTCAACAACTACTTCAGAGCCCAGCTAGACTTAGACTGTGGTCTCTGTCCTGGGACCCTTAGTACTTGAGGTGGTTCAGTGCCCACTTCACAGGGTGTAGAGTTAAGCAGGTGAGAGATCAAACAAAGCCTTTGTTGTTCATGGAATCTTAGGCATCTCATTCTGTGTAAGCTTCATTTCTTTAAATGGCAGAAAAATGAAGATTTTACTTATATTTGCTTTATCAGTTGAGCGAAAGTGAATTAAGAGACTCTATGAATCTATCTATCTATCTATCTATCTATCTATCTATCTATCTATCTATCTAT